TAAAAGTAGATTGATGGAAAATGAAATAGCGAGTCTAAAGTCCGAATATTTAAGTCTTTGACATAAGGATGGTGGTTGTTGGGAGCTGCCTTGGAGTTTGCTCAATTGATGTCAATCATATATAAACAGATTGAAACATTGCCAGTCCTTCCCCAGTTCCTTAACTTTTTACTACCTTTGAACTCATTATAAAAAAATGTTAAGAAAATTAATCTCTTTGGAGATTTTCTTCATTGTTAATTATAGTGATTTTTCTTTTTAAAAAATGTTTGTTAAGTAAAAACTATTCACTAAAATAAGGCATTAGCATGATTGCAAACATATCCCTTGTCCTATCTGCTTATCCAGTCAACTTGTGTTCCAGTTATCTATCTATTCAATCACTACTCACACAATTAATGTATATTCTCTGTGTGTCAGTTAAAAGTATAGCACTAAAGGAGTATCTAACCTCTGTTTTTGTTATTTTTAGGCAAACGTAGTTGTGTGGGAGAAGGACTGGCCCGCATGGAGTTGTTTTTATTTCTGACCAGCATTTTACAGAAATTTACCTTGAAGCCTCTGGTTGACCCTAAGGACATTGATGTCACCGCAGTTAACAATGGATTTATATCTGTGCCACCACCCTACCAGCTCTGCTTCATTCCTGTTTGAAGAAAAGATTGTTTCTTCATTGTCATCTACAAATTCCCTCTTTCATTCACTTCCCTAAAAATACTAGGGGCACTTTTCCATGAGATCTCTTATCCACATCTCCCTATTTCTTCAATATCTAGAATTGTCTCTCATCCTATTCTAAATATTCTGTAATTTTTGTATTGACCACCATATTGACCTTATTAGTTAACTGATTTATTGCTACATTTTCACAATAAGCAGAGCTGAATTATTAATATATGCCCATTTAAATTCATTTCTACTCTGCATTATTCATTTAAAAAGACTATCATTGCTGGATTTTTTTTGGACTTTTCTTATTTTGGGCTTAATGCAAGTGAAAAGGAAATTTAGAGTGGCCATGGTGGCCATGTTTTGCTTCATAAAGATATGTTCAATCTACAACCAGGAGAAGATAAAGTAAATGAATGGGATCTTCTAACAGTCAAGTCCCTATGCACATCCAAAAACTTCTTGAACAGGGTAAAAAGGGAAGCCACTGACTGGGAAAAAGTATTTGGTAATACCATATCAGATAAGGGACTTATATCCAGAATTTATGAAATACTTGAGCACCACAACAAGATAAAGGTAAATAATCCAATAGAAAAATGGGCACAGGATATGAACAGGCACTTCACCAAAGACGACATTCAGATGGCTAACAAACACATGAAGAAATGCTCAAAATCCCTAGCCCTAAGAGAGATGACGATCAAAACCACAATGAGCGACCATCTCACTTCAGAAGCAGTAGCAAAGTTTAACAAGCAGCAAACAATAAATATTGAAGAAGATGTGGAGAGGTATATTCCCACAATGGAATACTATGCTGTATTGAAAAACAAGGAACTCATGCAATATTATTCAAAATGGTTGACTCTGGAGAACATTATGCTGAGTGAAATATCCCCGTCACAAAAGGACAAATATTACATGGTGCCACAGTTGTAAAAGAGGACTGACCTTGGGGTTGGGGAGAGACTGAGTAAGATGGGTTCAATAATGTATACTGCACTGAAACAGAGGAGGGAGAAAACTGGATTTGTTCAGCAGCCATTCTGGGAGTGGGAAAAGGGGCTCTGCAGTCCTATCGCTAACGTTATTTTAAAAAGACATCTCTACGGTTCAAATCCACCAGACGCTCTGCCGGAGAAGGAGGCGCAATATCCTCCTGTACCAGTCAGATCTAATTTGACGGTACACGCACACAAAATTAAAAAAAAAAAATAAAATAAAAAGACATCTCTAATTAATCACATTTGTAAAAGCAAAAAACAAGAACCACATGATCCCATCATTGATGCAGAAAAGGCCTTTGCCTAAATCCATCACCTCTTCCTAATTAAAGCAGTCAAGTAAATAGGATTATGCAGGATTTTTTTTAACATAATAAAAAGTGTATATACAAAACAAAGAACCAATATCATTCAAAATGGAGAAAAATTAAAGATGTTTCCCTTGTGGACAGGGGCCAGACAAGAATGCCAACTAACACCACTCATATCAATATTGTATTGGAAGTATTAGCTAGAGTAATGAGACAAGAGAAGGAAATAAGAGGTATCCAAACTGGCAAAGAGGTGGTAAAACTGACACTATATACAGAAAAGATGGTAGTATACACAGAAAACCCCAAAAACTCAACAAAAATAATTTGTTCGACCTAGTAGACCAATTTAGTAGAGTGGCAGGATACAAGATCAGTATACAAAACTCGGTGGGAGGGAGCTCTGGTGGCTTATTGGCAAGAAGCTGCACTACAATCCTGAAAGATCCTCCCCTCTGGAGAATAAAGGGCTACTTCCTCTAGTGCCAGTCAGATCCAATTCGACAGTACACAACCAGAAAATAAAAGTGCAACAATGAATAAATGGAAATTTAAAGTCTCTGTAAACTTTAATTAAAATTAAAAAAAAACCTTTAAAGAAATAAAAATCAATCAGTCAATCAGTGGGATTTCTCTATAGCAATAAATATAGCATAGAAAAGGAAACTAAGAAATCAATACCATTTACAACAGCCAACAACAACATGCAATGCATTGGAATAAATTTAATTGGATACACAAGAGAACTTTATAAGGAAAACTAAAAAGCACTACTACAAAAAAACAATGAGACCTAGTTAAACAGGAAAATATTTCCTCTTCATGAAGACTCAACATTGTGAAAATGACAGTCCTATCAGGCAATCTACACGTTCTATGCAATCCCAATACAGACACCAAATTCATTCTTTAAAGACACGGGAAATGCAATTAGCAGATGTTGGATTCTAAAATGTGTGTCATGTTCATGACAGACAGATTTGGGCACCTGAGCTCCGGTAGCTAGTGGCAAGAAGCTGTAGTGCAATCCCGAAGCCTATGGTTCAAGGCCATCAGCAGCTCTAGAGGAGACCCTCTACTGGGGCTCAGGGTACAAAGGTTCAGTGGCATGCACACTGACTCCTTCCCACATTCTATATGAACCAAAATAAAAGTAATATTTAAGACTCCTGAAATTCCTCGGCTCTTCATGCTTTTTTTCCCAGTTGGCCCCTGAATGCTAGTGTGTTGATTGTTCTCAACCAAGGCTATGAGCAGGATTCAAACATAGCAGCAGAACAGCAGATGAGTTTTGCTTATTCGGGACCTCTTCCCATTCCTTATTTGGAAATGACATTTCACACCAAGGTCTTATAACTAAAGTTTAAAATATATTGGGTGGCCTCCATAGGAAAAAGACTGATAACTCAATAAAAAAATGAGCAAAATACATAAAATGACCCAGAACAAAAGAAGACATTTAGATGACCAAGAGACACATGAAGAAATGCTCAAAATCACTGGAAGTCAGTGAGATGATGATCAAAACCACAATGAGCGACCATCTCACTTCAGAAGCAGTAGCAAAGTTTAACAAGCTGCAAACAATAAATATTGAAGAAGATGTGGAGAGACTGGAACCCTCATACACTGCTGGGAGGATTGTTAAATGGTACAACCACTCTAGAAGGCAGATTAGTGTTTCCTTCAAAAGTTGAGCATGGAAATCCCTTATGACCCCGCTAGTAATATCCTAAGAATTACAGAAATATACCCTAAGAAAATCAGAACTAAGATGCAAATGGTGATATGTACACGTATGTTCATACCAATAAATGGACTGAGAAGTTGTGGTACACACATTGGAATACCATGTAGCACTAATGAACAATGGTTTCCTAAATACTGTATTATATGGGAGAGTCTTGAGAGCATTATGCTGAACGAAAGAACTCAGTTTTATAAAAATAGAAGGATAATTGAACAAAAGTGTATAAATGTTCAAAAAGAAATGGAAAAGAAATGAGGGACATAAAAAAGGGAAAGAAGATAGCAGAGGTTAATGGGCGGATGCGGGAGTGAAGAAATAGGAAAGATTCAATGGGGACATAATAGAGTAATAATAAGCTTAGAGAAAAGTAATTAATTCTATAAAATATAATGTATATGAGTAATTACATAAAACACATGTACATGAAGGAAACACATTGTAAGCAAAAGATTGTATAAAAACCCAGTTTAAATTCATGAAACAATGTATGTAAATGACTGTGTGCAAACCAGTAACAACATGAGGGGGGAAAGCAGATGTCTAGTTTTCTCTACAGTGATGCTGAATGGAATATTAATGACAAGAGGTGTGCAGGGGAATCTCTAATGAGTCTGCTGAATATTTGTCTAATTGTGGGTACCAGAGACTGACAGATTGCTCAGTTGTTCATGGTTAGTTCAGATTTGGGGTTTTGTTTTTGTATTGGGTTTTTTTTTTTTAAGCTAAAGAAGCATTATAAAGGGGCTCCCAGTTGGGATTCCCCAGATTTGGGTTTTCTCTTGATAACAGACTAACATCCTCTTTTCAGCAGTTAACAAAGGCATAGCAAAAGTTGTATCAATGGCACAATACCAGACGATGTTTAATTTTGTTGTATATGGGGTAGCAGAGTTGGAACCAATAGCACAATATCTCACAATTGATAAGCTGTGACATTCTGGGAACAAAGTTCAAATTCTCTCAACTTCAGTTTTTTTATCTGTAAAACTGTGATAAATAAATATAATCAAAGTATTAAGGCAAAAGCAAGTTGTAATTATGTGAGCACAAAATGTCCAGTGCATTGCCTGGCAAATCAGATGCCAAACTCAAATGGTATCCATGACAATCATCATTGAAAAAAAATTATATATATATTTGATGAGATGGCTTGACACCTTCTGCACTGTCGCTGGAACACTCTGCTCCACTGGGCACTGTTCACTTTTCTGTTCATTCAACATCTAGTGAAAAGCTAACAATCGTTCTAAGAAGCTTCCTAAATTTTGTAGCTTAAATTGACACCCTGCTGGCCACTCAATGATAACCCTTTATAATCGCTGTATTGACCTTCTATTTACCTGAGTAATGTGTAAATGCCTTCATACTTACTTACCTGAGTTAGTGCTGTGCAATTTAGAAAAGCCAGGTGAGGATGCCTGTCCAACCAGAATGTAATCACTGTCTTTGGATTGTGCATGTAAAACTGTTGTATGTTTTGTTGTGTATAATCCCAACAACACAACAGTTTCTTTTTTCTTTTCTTCATAAAAAGGGAGAGACAGAGAAATTGCTAATACCAGCGCCCAGCCCTACAACCAGTTAAATACAAATGTTCAGGAGTATATGTTGAGAATAAAGAGAGGATAATTAGAGGAAAACAAAACCAGACTTGTGACTCATGGTTACCTCCTGTGTGAGAGAGCAGAACTTCTGACCAACATTGGCTTGGTATAATCTTAGCAGAAGTAAAGGCTTTTCTCATGCGAATTCACAGGTTGTGTCCCAGCCACCAACTTTTTCATTAGCAACAGTTTGCAAAGTGCTCCTGCCATCCTGGCTCCTAGAACAAGATCAAATAACAATTATTATTGGTACCAGTGAGCCAAAACCCACCCAGAAGGGATTATAGGAAAGTTAGACAATCAATTCTTTTATTTATCATTACTATAAAATTAATAGTAAGGACTATTATAGAAATTTAGGATTGGAAGGTCATAGTTGCCTCAGTAAGAGGAGAAGGACAAAATGGATCTAATCATGGTCCTGAAGCTCTGTGTCTTCTATTTGTTCCCCCCTTTGACTTTGAAAACAGAGTTATGGGAAAGGAAAGTACCTACCTGGGCTCACTCCTCTCCTAGTTATTGGAAATAGCCTATAGTTGTATCTTAAGAGTGACAGTAAACCTTTAAGCAATGCAAGTCCATCTTGAGCTCCCCCAGTGCTGTGCACTGGTAGATAAATTAATCTTCATATTGAAATAAAATTTAGTAAAAAGTAATAATAAATATCATTGTAAAATAAAACACTCCCTCTGTAGTTTGCTATTTATGTTGTTTTTAAACTGTCATTGTCAGAAATAAAGTCATGTATTTAGTGATAAGTAGGTATATCACAGTCATTTGCTATGGTATTTTGACCAGAAGTAAAGGGTTAGGAAGTGTCTTGTCATTTAAGATTTCATTTTCGTGTGATATTATTTTGTTCAATAATTACTGCATAGTGTTGGATCACCTTTTTGTTTAAATGGACACCAATATCATTTTTCCATATGTGTCCCTATTTAGAAAACATACCTAGTTACAATTCCCAGTTAGTTAACAGTTAATATTGAAAATGTCTTGGCTATATTGAAAGAGCTACTCCAGGGCTGCAACTATTTGTTGAAATTCCTCAATTAGTGTTCTGTTAATTCTTGGAGGCTTGTGTGTTGTCAACACGGTCTGTTTATGTTGGAATTCATCCTTTGGTACCACTGCTCTTCATCATATGCTACCTCCTCAGACAACTCAATTTCCACCAGTTCTTTTTGATACAGTGTCTCTGTATTCCTTCCATTGTCTTTTGATGCTTCTCTCTTGGTTCACAATTTTGAAAGTAGTATTTTCTCTACTTTGTTTTTCATTCTTTATCTAAAACATTATAGAATTGCTCTAAGTAATGTTTAACTTTTCAGATTTTGTCTTGTACTGTGTGAGTCCAGACTAAAATTAAGAGCAAGTAATAACAGCATATTCTGTTGATGGCTCTGTACCTTAGGAGAAAGGTTATGGTGGTCTACTTCCACGAAGATTTACCATCATGGAAATGCTTTGGGGCAGTTCTGCTCTAACCTGCAGGGTTGTTGTCCGCTGGGCCAACCTATTGCCTTACAACAGGTTTCTTGGGCTTTTTATTATAAATAGTAATATCCTACATATCGTCAGGAAGATAGCCTTTGACTAAATAATTGAGGAGGGGGTGTTTCAGAGGTAAACACTACTTTATAAAACAGCGACTCCTTTTCCTCCTATATTAAATAACTGACAAAAATGTCACTCATCAAAGAATCATTTTTGCATATACTTCTTCTTTTCCCTTTGAGATTTAGATGTTCTCTTTTAAATCTGTTTATCCAAAGTACTCTTATTCTTCTTTTCATTTGTAGTAGTTTTTAACTTATAGAACATGAACAGTTTTCACTTTTATGCCTTCATGAAAGTTCCTTCTGATGCTGGAATCCACCAAAAATCTCTCCTGTCTGCTGGTTAAACACACAGTTCCTTCAACTATTTGTAATCTATATAAAGTTTTTCAGGTCCTAACTATTCTCTTCCCCCCCTCTTTAATACACTGTCTGGGGGGATGGGGGTTAATGTGTCAGAATTAGTGAGACTGGCTCAGGACAGGGAAGGGTTCTGAGCACGTGTAATTTGCAGGCAACTCAGAGGCACATAACAACAACAACAACAACTTACTATATTGGTTGTTTTTTATTTAAAAGTCTTGTTTAGAGTTAACAAGACCTTGGGGAGGGCCTTTGTATTTAAAATTGGTTATTATTACATTTTGAAGGAACATTCCTCTTAGTGGTTCAGCACCCTTCTGTCAATATGCTGTACTGAGGTAACCTGGTTTGCTGTAATGCTGAACCTTGTTTCATTGAGGTGTCAAATGACATAATGTGAGATACCTCCTACCGTTCTTCTATTCTTAAGGAGTGCTTTGCTTATTCGGGGCTTCTTTCCATTCCACACGAAATTGGAGATTGCCTTTTCCATCTTGTTGAAGAATGGGATTGGTATTTGTATTGGGATTGCATTAAATGTGTAAATTGCCTTTGGTAGTATTGCCATTTTCACAACATTGA